CTTCCTGAATTCCCCATTTCCACACCTCCTTCTTTCCTGCTTCCCCCCCCCCCCCCCTTCTGAGCTTCATTTTGTGTGCACATGCTGCCGTCTTGGTCTCCTATGGTTGGCTGTTCTGAGAAAATATGTTCCTCACAAGCATTACTATTCACTTTAGAGGTCTATCTGTTGTTTGGCTACAAAACAGCTCTCCAGGATTGAAGGGTGGTATCTAAGGGTCATAGTCTCAGACTAACAAGTCTGATCTTTTTATGATTTTCATTCAGAATGTTTTGGTCAGAGTTGTATCCCTTAAAAAAATTGGGAAGCAAACCTCACCTATTTTGTTGGTTTCATTGTTGTTGGCTTAGTGACTTAGGAGACCGCCATGTGCCACAGAGTGGAACTGCTCTTTGCTGTGATTGTTATGAAAGCAGATCATTAGGTCCATTTCCTCCTCAGTACTGAGGGGTGGGTGCTGGAATCACCAACCATTTGGTTACCAGCCAAGTGCAAACCATGTGCGCCAACTAGGGACTTTGCCTGACCTATGCTGAATACTCCTTTGATCCCAAATGTAAAAACTACCTAAAGCCCAAGTCACAAGTTGCACCAACCTAGAATATTTGGGTAGCTGGAACCTCCCTTAGAACATCAGGTGTACATGGGCAAATTTTCAAAGACCAGTTCCTAAACCTAGATGCATACCAGATTCACCTGGGGGAATGTTTAATATTTGACAGTCCACTTTGAAGAAGACAAAAACAAACCCACCACCATTGAGTGGATTCCAGCTCACAGCAACCCTATAGGACAGTGTAGAAAAACCCCATAAGGTTTATGAGGCTGACATCTTTAGGGAGCAGATAGCCACATGTTTCATCCGTGGTGTGGCTGCTGGGTTTGAACTGAAACATTGTGGTTAGCAACCGAGCATTTAACTCACTGCACCACCAAGGTTCCTTCAGACATCCCCAGCCCTGGAGAATCTGAGCTTCAACATGCTAGGGTCAGGAATATGTACATTTTTTTCAAAAGTTCCCCGGGTGTTTCTGGAATTTTTCAGGCATTGATTAATCAGGTATTTGTTGTTGCTTAGTTGATTCCAACTTTTAATGACCCTGTGTGTTTCAGAGTAGAGCTGAACTCCATAGAATTTTCAAAGCTGTATCCATTCAGAAGTACATCCGCAGACCTATCTTCTGAGGTACTTATGGTAGGTTCCAACTGCCAATATTTTAGTTAACAACCAGGTGCTTAACCATGGACTTCTTTGGTGGTTACAGATAGACATAAATTCTTTTTACCTGCCCATTTTCTACTGGAATTATCCAGAGGACAAGGTTTGAGCCCAGACTACTGGTTCTGTGGGAGAATATCAATGTCCCCCCAGGAAGGAAGGCATTTAGGATCTGGAGATCAGGGCTCCCAGATCCAGCTAATATTTTATCTAGAAATTTAGACTCCAGGCTCTGGAACAATGTCATACAGTATCTCAAGCACTACCTCCTCCATCCACTTTGAAAATTCAAAGAAAGCGTTCTATCATACTGGCTGACATTCTGAACCTCAGGTCCACTCCCTAAGCAAAGTCCAAGCGATAAGCTTCATCAACCCAAAATACTCAGCGGGAAGCAGCTGTCCTCGAGGACTTTTAAGGTTCAGAGCCTGCATTCTTAGAGAGTTCAACACAAAGGACCACCCCCACTTAAATCAAAGAGCCATCTGAAATACTTATAGGAACAGTTTTCATCCAATTACAAAACTCGAAGGCAAATCCCCACTCACTTAGAATACTCAAGGGGCAACCGCCACACGCAACTCGTGTTTTCTTGGGTGTGCACGGCGGGGGTGGGGGAGGGGGCGAGGGAGAAGGCCACATTCATTCAGAACACACTGGAAATAATCTCCACCTCCTTAGGATAGTACAGAAACAAACTGCTCATGTAGGATACCTATGAGCTGGTTCTATTCTTTCAGAACATTCCCCCACAGGTTCCGCCCACTTTGGCTATTTAGGGTCCCAGCTCCTCCTACTTAAGCGCCAGCACCCAAGCTTCTTCCCTGTGTTGGATGTTGGATTCTTCACCTGGTTAGGCTGTCCAAGACTCGCTGAAGACCCCCGAGTTAGAAAACACACAGCACGTAAAATGCTCGATAAGCAGACGTACCCCACATCGCGAACCCGCTGCGCAGGGAACCCGCAAGTTTGAGTTACCTCCGGGGCTATGTAGTCCGGGGTCCCGCAGAAGGTCCGGGTGGTGGTCCCGGGGAAGACGTTCTCTTTGCACATGCCAAAGTCAGTGATTTTGATGTGTCCTTCCGCATCCAGCATTACATTGTCCAGTTTCAGGTCCCTGGACATGAGGAGGGCAGAGATGTGAGGGAACAGTTGAGTTCAGTGGGCTGAGAACCAATGCTGGAATTCTCGTCCCTATACAAGTACCACCGTAGTCCTGCGGTGGCGCTGTGGGTTAATGCGCTGGACTGCAAAGTCAGTTTGAACCAAAGTCAGTCGGCGGTTCAAACTCACCAGCCGCTCCTAGGAAACCCTATACAGGGTCGCTATGGGTAGGCACAGACTCGGCACTTAACAACAACAACAGGGGAGCCAACTCTGACTCATGGTGACCCCATATGTTTTAGCTGTGCTCCATAGGACTTTCTTTAAAAAAGAAAATAAATATTTCGTTTTCATTGAATGTTAATATAGAAAATTAAGTTCCCATTTGACAATTTCTATACAAAGTAGCATGCATGGTGGCACAGTGTGTTAAGTGTTGTTGTACTACTGAAAGAAAGATTGGCAATGTGAACTCACCAACTGCTCTGTGAAAGAAAGTTACAACAGTCTGCTCCCTAAAGATTATAGCTTTGGAAACTTCCAGAACAAGGGCAGCTCTGCTTGGTCCTGATGGGGGTGGGGGTGTTAGGTGCCACTGAGTCAGTTCCATTTATAACAATCCTGTACAGGGTTTCCAAGACTGTGAATCTTTACAGAAGCAGACGCCTCATCTTTCTCCCTCGGAGAGACTGGTAGATTAGAACCACTGAACCTCTGTCCTATAGGTTCTGTATTCATCAGAAGCCACTTGAGGGCAGTAGGCAGGTAAGTAGGTATACAAATTGTCCAGTGATATTAATTATACTTTTCACAATCTGTCAGCATTTAATTGTTTTCTGGTGTTTCCGTTTCCAGTGGTCTAGTTCCCCTGCCCCACCCCCTTATCTTCTCATCTTTGTTTTAAAGTAATTGTTGACCTTTTGATTTCATAGAAATGGGGGTTTTTTGTTGTTGTTGTTTTTACTGGTACACCATGCTGTTGTTGTTGTTAAGTGCCATCGAGTCGGTACACATACTCATAGGTACTATTCTTTATTTTATGTGCCATTCTGTTATTTTGTGAAAAGATGACGACGTCAGGGGATAGTTTTGGTTCAAGGCTTAAAGAGTATCTCTGGGTGATAGATAGTATCTGAGAGTCCTCTAGTCTCAACTGGTCCAGTGAGTCTAGACTTTTTAATACTTTGAGTTCAGTTCTGTATTCTTCTCCCATTCAGAACAGTTGGAGGTGGTACTGGGGCACCATCTAGTTCTTTTGATCTCAGAAGTGGTGAGGCCCTGAAATATCGGGCTTTCAGTGGCTGAATTTTTAGAAATAGATCATCAGACCTTTCTTCCGACGTGCCTCTGGGCAGACCCAAGATGCTAACCTTTCAGTTAGCAGCCAAGTGTGTTAACTGTTTGTACACCACTCAGGGACTCCCCTTCCCCTCTAAGGCGCTGATTTTCCTCCACTGAAAGGTCTGGGGTTGCTTACCGGTAGATGATGCCCTGATTATGAAGAAAGAAGAGGCCGATGGCGATTTCTGCTGCGTAGAACCTGGAGGAGGGGCGGGAATCCGAGGTCAGGGGCTAGGTCCCATCTGATTCCAGCTTCCCCTCGCTCTCCTCCAGGGCTGAGACTCACGCTGCATGGGGCTCCTTAAACTTGCCCAATTGCTGAATGTGGTACATCAGGTCACCCCCGGTGACATACTCCATCACGAAATACAGGCGATCCTGGGGGCAAGGGGCAAGGCTTAGTGGCGAGGACACGCCCACTGGCGGTGGGCGGGAACCCTTTCTTCCCACCCACTAAGGACCAATGCGGAAGTCTCGGGATCCACCCAATCAGAATTCCAGAGCAACTGGGCTAGCCCAGTGGGAGGTCCTGCAAGTTCTAACCCCACCCTCTCAGACCTCAAGGGCATAGTCACCCACCAATCATTCCCAACGATCCGGAGTTTTGGTCCCGCCCTCTTAGAACAGAAGACCCATCATTCACTGGAAATTGGGGACTTCTCGCCACACCCACTCACACGTATATTCAATTCTGGCCACCACTCCATTCCAAGGGGAAAAAAATGTAGCAGTTTACGTCAATAAAGATTCACAGCCGCGGAAAGAACCCCATGGAACAATTCTATTCTGTTCAAAGAATTCTATTCTATTCATAGGATCGCGATGAATTAGAATCGATTCAATGGTTGTTGTTGTGATGTGCCGTGGAGTCGGTTCCGACTCATAGCGACCCTGTACAGGGTTTCCGAGGCTGTAAATCTTTACGGCTGCAGAAAGCCTCATCTTTCTCCCGCGGAACAGCTGGGAGTTTCGAACTGTTGACCCTGAGGTTCGCAGCCCGATTCGTAACCACTACGCTACCAGAGCTCCTTAATTCAATGGTAGTGGGATTGATTTTTCGGGTTTTGGTGGTTGTCCTTGAAGTGATTCCAACCTAGAGTGACCCTGTATAGGGTTTCCGACGCTGTAAATCTTTGTGAGAGCAGAAAGCCTCATCTTTCTCCTGCTAGAGGCTGGTGGGCTCAAACCGCCGACCCTATGGTTCGAAGTTCAGTGCTTATCCTACAGAGCCCTGGTTGCACAGTGGTTAAGCACTCCACTGCTGGCCAAAAAGTTTGCGGTTGGAACACATGCAATGACTCTTTGGGAGGTGATCTGCTTCCATTAAGATTAAAAACAAAACAAAATCTGTCATCCTTGAATCAATTTGGGCTCAGAGCAGCCCAGCCTCATCACTGGGTTTGTGCCACCCTACGAAATAACTCCTGGATGGAACGCACCTGCCCCCACCCCCCAGCCCCCAATTGCAGGTGACCCCGTCCCTCCTGGCCTCGCCCCTATGGCGCCTATGCATTGGCCGAGAGGAGGACTTCTTCTCCACCCAGCCCACAGACAGGTGCTAAAGCACACCCACCCACTGCAGGACTGGTGGAGGATGGAGGAGTAGGGGGTGGTACTGATGAGTTACCACACTGCGTAATGCGCTTCAACGCTCCTATAGGGCAGAGTAGAGCTGCCCTATAGGGTTCCAACGCTGCAATCTTTAAGGAAGTCAGATGACCACATCTTTCACCCATGGAATCACTGGAATGGTTCGAACAACCAACCTTTTGACTAGCAGCTGAGCGCTTAACTACTGCGTCAGTCAGGGCTCCGTCCACGAAAAGATTACAGCCTAGGAATCTCTATGGGCAGCTCAACTGTGCACATACGTGGTCCCCAGGAGTAGGAATTGACTAGAAGGCACTTAACAACAATTAGGGACCAGAGTTGTTCATGCCCCGTCTACAGTTAAGGAAGTGTGGGGGGAACAGGAGGTAGTTTCATCCATTCGGAACCCCTGGGTATAGAATCACGGCCTTCTAAAACCCCTGAACTTTCTGGCTCCTTGTTTCATTCCACAGTCTTTAAGTAACTTCCTTTTGTCCCATGTCCTTTGCATCAGAATCCAAAAGTAATGACCCACCACAGAAAGCCTAATCCTGAGGACACTCACTCAGAAGATACTCTCTTTCAAGCACTTTTTGACTGAAAGATACAGCTTACCGGCTACACTCACTTCAGACCCAGGCTATCTGCCACTCCCACACAAGACACTCATCTTTTTCACCACGCCCACTCTAAGTTCCATCCATGTGTCCACGCCCACTCAAGCGACCACGCCCACTGGAGCGCCCAGTCTGGCCACATTCACTCAGGGTCTCATCTTCTGTTATGCTCACTCAAGTCCCCATTCAGCTGGCCAACGCCATTGAGGACCCCACCCATCTGACCACACCCACTGGCGACCAAGACTCCATCCTTTTGGTCACGCCTATTCGGGACGCCATGCTTGGGGCCACACCCACTCAGATCCATCTGTCTAGCCACGCCTACTTAGGAATGCTACCGCCTGACCACACCCACCAGTAACTCATCCATCGGGTCACGCCCACCTAGGATCCACCCTTCGGTTCACATTCACCTAAGATCCCATCCGTCTAACCACGCCCACTGAGGTGTGCAGTTTCTCGCCTTGCTTCAACTCAGAATCCCTAAGCAGATGGCTGATTCATCTAGGAGGGATGTAGCAAGCCCCCGAGACCAGCCTTCTCTCTCCGGATTCCTTACCTGAGTCTGGAAGGTGGAGTGCAGCTGAGTGAGAAAGTGCGGCCGGCCGCCGGGGCCTCGGCCCCCCAGTGCCAGGACGCGCTTCTCCACTAGGGTGCAGTCCACATCGTCGTCCTGGACAATCACGTCCTTCTTCAGTATCTTGATGGCATACAGCTCGTCAGAGCCCCTGCGCTCAGCCAGCATCACCTACGAAGGAAAGCAAGGGTTGAAGGTCCAGTTCCCCTGGGAAACTTAGGAGGGCAGGTTCCTGGTTCCCATCCCTTTAAAGTAGCCAAGAGGAACACGATCCCAGGGTAAGTCATCCTCTCTCGCGCCTGATTTATGGGCCCACCATGTCAGGGAAACGTATCCCCATCTTTATATTTCTTCTCCCCAGGAATCCAATCTACCACCATTTGGAAACTCTGAAACCTATTCTTTGCCTCCCCACTGCTTGCATTTCCTCCATACACAACAGACATCTTCCTGCCCACTCCCAGATATCCTCCCCTTCCCCAAAATTCCCCTAGAGTCCAACCTTCCCAAAACTGCCTTTGCCAAGAACCATGAGGAAGCTGAAATCGGAGATGTGCAGTCGTCCTGGGCTCATTCCAAAGAAGCAGCGCTTGGGATCAGTGGGGCTGGGGGACGGAGAAGGGATGGGGGAAGAAGAAGGGCCCATCCGCACCCGCTGTAGGGAAGGGGAGAGAGAACATGAAGTAGTCAGACCCCACCCACTCATCCACCCATCCACTGCCTTCTAGTGAATTCTGTCTCGTAGCCATGATGCATCGTTACCCTATGGACCAGCAGAGAACTTTCCCATAGGGTTTCTGAGGAGCAGCTGGTGGGTCCCAACTTCCATTCATTCAGTTAGCAGCCCAATGCCTAACCCAGTGTACTGCCCCAGAAGGGGGAGTATGACATTTCTCAAGAAAAAGACCATTCAGTAATGAAGGAATGGAATAGACCAGGAGAAAGAAAAGTCACCCCCCAACTACTTTCAGCTTAAGAACTTCCTCTGACTCCAGACAACCCGGAGGGTCTATATTATTTAACTAACATTTAACTTACTATAAGGAGCCTGGTGGCACAATGGGCTAAAAGGAAGCCCTGTGGTTTGAACCCTCAGCCACTCCATGGGAGAAAGAGGTGGTAGTGGCGTTTTTTATTGCTGTGTAAACTCTGTGGGGCAAGTTTACTCTGTCCAAAGGGTTGCTATGAGTCAGAATTAACTACAGCATTGGGCAACGTGCTTTGTTGTTGTTGTTAAATGTCATCAAGTACGCTCCGACTCACAGTGACCCTGTATAGGGTTTCTGAAGAGTGACTGGTGGGTTTGAACTGCCAACCTTGTCAGCCTAGTGCCAAGCCTACAGTGCCACACTCAGACTCCATCACTTACTTGATGTTATTGTCATTGTAATAGGGAAGGAGCTCTGGTAATGTAGTGGTTAAGAGATGGGCTGCTAACCTCAAGGCCAGCAGTTCAAAACTACCAGCTGTAGTTCTGTCACCAAACCATCAATGTCCCTACTATAGTTTATTAATCTTTTAGAAAACAATAACAAACACATTTTACAGAAGAACAAACTAAATCAGAGATGTTAAGTAACTTGTCCAAAGTCACAAAGCAGGTTAAGTATCAGAGCCAGAAATTAGACCCAAGCAGTTCAGCCCCAAAGTTTCTGTGCTCTTAATATGTAAGCCAGCAAGCCTTGGAGGGCTCAGTTAAACACAGATTGCTGGGTCCCACCCCCAGGTTTTCTGATTTGTAAATCTGGCAGGAGGGGGATGGCTGAGAATTTGCATTTTGAACAAATTCCCAGATGGTGCTGATCTACCAGTTGGGGGGCGGTGGGGAGACACATTTTTTTCTGATCTATGGTCAGTGAAAAAGAGAAAGACCTTCAATGAGCCGGAGTGACTCAACGAACACAGCAGCGATTGTGGAGATGATGATATATGATGAGGCGGGACCAGGCAGTGTTACACTCTGTTGTACATACGGACGTTGTGAGTCTGAACCCACTCCACAGCACCTAACAATCACAGCGCAGTGTCTTGTCCACACTGGCCCACGGGCTGTCCAGGGACTGGGCTGCCGTAATAGCATCCATGTTTGTCTCTCCTTACCTACTGTCAGACTTTCTAATGCATTCTCCACACAACAGACAGAGTGGCCAGTTTAAAAACAAATAGATAAGCCAGGTCCTCAGAAGAAAGCCTTGGGCATCTACTTCAGATGACCACTGAAAACTCGATGGAGCACAGTTCTTACACACATGGGGTCACCATGGTTAGAACTGGATGGCAGCTGTTGTTTAGATGGAGAAGATATGTGCACATTTAATTTTTCTGATTTATAAACTGTAGAGAAGGAACGTTGGTGGTGTTATGATTAAAGTGTTCTACTGCTAACCAAAGGTTGGAGGTTAGACCCACCTGCTGTTCCGGAGGAGAAAGATGAGGTTATCTACTTCTGTAAAGTTTTACAGCTTTGAAGACCCTATAGGGCAAGTCTATACTGTCTTACACGGTTGCTAAGAATCATAATCAACTTGAAGGCAGTGGGTTGTTTCTGGTTTCTCTTTACTGGTAAATCCTTCACTTGCCTCCAGGATTTCTTTGGAAGCTTTCTCTGACTCTCATAACCTGTTGCCCCTGATGCCGGAGGCTACTTCTATTATCATAGACATTTCCTGGTGTGAACATCTTTGGCTGTAATTCTCTCCTTAAGAAGAGACGCTTCCTCAGAGGATTGCCTGAGTCTACCCAGGGCATCACCCACAGCAGGGCTTGGTTTATCCAACACCTGAGGAAATAGGTGTTTAATAAGTGAGTGGATAAATGGAACGGATCTCAGGATCACAGTCTCGGAGAACATCAGGGTCAACTGACACACCATAACCCATAAAGACAATGCTCTACGTCAGGGTCTTAAAATCATGTGAATGGCCATCTCTGGCACAACTATTGGGCTCTCTCACACACACACGCCAGAGCAAAGAAGTGATAAAAATAAAAGACACATGGAAATAATTAATCCAAAGGAATGATGGATCACCTAATCTCAGTCTCCATGACCCTGACAACAGAATTAGGTGATGCCTGGCTACTAGTGGCTACTCTGAAAGGGACTACAATAGGAAGACCTGGATACATTAGAAGAAAAATATGAAACAAAACCCAAATCATAGAAAAAGACTAGGTTTACTGGTCAGATAGTCTGGTGGAACCCCTAAAACTATGACCCTTAGACACCCTTCCGGCCTGGCATTGAACCCCCTTCCAGGGATCACCTTCTAGCCAAACAATAGGCAGGGAGCACTAGTGGTGCTGTGGGTTAGGCATTGGGCTGCTAACTGCAAAGTCAGTGGTTCAAATCCGCCAGCTTCTTTGAGGGAGAAAGATTAGTCTGTCTGCTTGAGGAAAGTACACATTCAACTATTGTGCATGGGACTGAAGGCAGAAATCAGAGCGGAGAGAAATGGAGAAAGAAAGAGACCCAGAGAATGAATCTGCCCCATTCAACATCGGCTCTACTCACCTCATATAGTTCCAGGGGATAGTTACAGGCCTGGGAGAAAAGAAAGTCAGACTTAGGACCTCAAGAGAGCAGGGGACAGGGATTCACACTACCCCCAGATGGATAGGAATTACAATTCCCACCAGGCTCTGGGGCTAGAGCCCCCTAGAAGAATAGTACAAAGAGCCCCAAGGTTTCCTAGGAATTGTAGTCCCAGGACTAGGGTACCACTGAGTAATGGGAGGGCCTGATTCTGAACTTTGGGAGGCTGAGCTAAGTGCTCCAAAGACAGCCAGGGTCTGGGTACCTCAAACTTCTGGAGGAGGCTGCAGTTGTCAGCATCAGCCACTGGTACATTGTAATATTCACCCTCCTCCTGGTTCAGTAACTTGTACCTAACACACAGACGGAGACCAGAGCAGGGTCGGGGAGAGGGGGGCACCCACGGGAGGAGCAGACACACCCAAAGAGGGGAAGAGACACAGAGAGACAGACACAGAGATGGAGAGAGAGGAAGAATGAGATAAGAGGGAAGTGGGGGAGAAGAGAGAGAGGAGGGAAGGGAAGAAGACAGATGTAGAAAGAGGAAAGGATAGAACAAGGGAGAGAGAAGAAGATGAAGATTGAGAAAAGAAGATTTGGAGGAGAAGTGATGGGGAAGTGAAGGAGATGGAGACAAAGAGTAAGATGAAGGGAGAGAAGAGGAGCGAGGAGCGGGGAGGAAAATGAAGAGGAGGAACAGTAGCAACAAAGAAGAAAGAAAGAGAAAGGGGGAAGAGAAGGAGAGAAAGGGGAGGAAGCCACCTGCCCCTGGCCCTGCCCTCACCAGCCGTCCACCGGTGCCTTGAGCAGCTCTGACACCCCAAAGGACATGGCTCCCATGAAGTCGTTACGGGAAGTACGGTCCCAGTCCCACACCTCCACGCTGAGCCGCCGTTCCAAATCGCCGGGCTTCAGGTTACTGTGGGAAGGAAGGTGGGGGTGCAGTGAGAGGCGATATTCATGGCTCCCCCCAACTTCTCCATCTCAGGAACCTACCCAGCGAGCTTGGGTCCTTAGGTGTCAGTTGTCTGCTCTGTAAGGGGCTTCCTACCTCAGATCCTTCCCAAAGGGGTCTCTTTCCCTCTGTGGGGATATTTAAGAACCCTAGACAGTTCTCTTAAGGAGCTCTGGTAGCGTAGTGGTTACGAATCGGGCTGTGAACCTTAAGGTCAGCAGTTCGAAACTACCAGCCGCTCCGCGGGAGAAAGATGAGGCTTTCTACTCCCGTAAAGATTTACACCCTCGGAAACCCTGTACAGGGTCGCTATAGGTCAGAACCGACTCGACGGCACTTAACAACAACAACAACAGACAGTTCTCTTGGGCTCTCTCCTGCCCTCACACCATGTTGGTGGGCTCCCCACCCCCCAGCCCCCTTGCCAGGCTCTGCCTCCACTCCACCCCCAGCTTCTTTTCTCTCTGGATTTTTTCTGTCTTCATCTCTCCCTTACATCACTTCATACGGTCTTTATTTTCTTTCTCACTTGAGTCTCTTACTTTCTAACGCATTCCTTTCTACTGAAAGCTGGCTCCAGGTCTTTCTCTGGTCCCATCCCTCCAGTTCTCTTTCAGGGTCTCTGGCTCCCGCCCCCAAGTCTCCATTCTGCATGTCTGCCTTCCCCCAGTCAAGTGTCAAGGAGCCCTGGTGGTGCTATGGGTTAAGCACTGGACTGCTAACCACAAGGCTGGCGGTTCGAACCCCCCAGCCACTCTGTGGGATAAAAATAAGGCTGTCTGCTCCTGTAAAGATTTAGTCTCATAAACCCTATATAGGGTCGCTGTGAGTCAGAAAGGACTCATTGGCAGTAGGTTTGGTTTTCTAGTTTTATTCCAGTATCTGCTGTTTAGGGCTCTCCTCTGCCTCTCACCCAGCTCTCTCCTCCTCCTACCTCTCACTTTCAGAGCTCTATCCCTTTTCCTCTTCCTGTGTCTCTTAGTTTCTCCCTCTAAGGTTTTCTCTGCCTGTTGTTGTTAGGTGCCACCGAGTTGACCGACTCATAGCGACCTTATGCACAGCCTACCCCTATCCATTTCTCTCTTTCTCTCTCTGGAGCTCTGTCCTCATCGCCTCAGAGTCTGTCTGTGTGTCTCAGTCTCTTTGGGTCTCTGGTCTCTGTTCCCCTGGCTCTCTCTCTCTGTCTTTCTGTCTTTGTCTTCTCCCTAAAGTCAGCTATCAATACAGTAAAACTTGCAAAAGCTGGCAACTGTGTAAGGCAGACACCTGCCTGAGAAGGAACCCTCAAATATCTTCCACTGAAACAAGATTAATGGTAAGACTGCATCCTAGCTCAGCAAACAGAGAACGAGGCAGTCCCTGCAAGCTCTGGCTTTCCCAGAGTTCACTGCACAGTTATAATCGTTACCCCTTCCAAGCCCGGAAACACCTGGAGAGCAGAACCAAGTCGTCTTCATACCCAGGTCCCCTGTGTACCAGGCTTTGAAGGAGCAATTGCTTGTCTATTTTTCTGGCTTCTGTGTCCCTCTCCCTTCATCACTCTGTTCCCTTCTCCCCTCCCCACCTTCTTCTCTTTTGACTCCCGTCCTAATGCCTCCCACCAGCTGCAGTCTGGGAGCTTGTGGACCACCTAGACCCTCAGATTGTTCTCTGCCAGTCATCATCACAGCCTCCCCTGCATCCGAGGCTCACAACACGAAGGTCTCGTTCCACACGGGGTTTAGCGTGGCTTTCACTGTCCGGGTCTTCTGTTTCGTCAGGTTCCGAGGGTCCGGAATGAGCTTCAGTTTCACATAGGGGTCAGACAGACCATTAGGATCCATTGGAATGAGGTTACGGGCTTCACCAACTGAGGAGAGAGAGTGGGTTAGCCCTCTCTCTAAGAAAACCAAAAACCAGACAGACAAACCCATGCTGTCAAGTTGATTCTGTCTCATAGAGCGCCTGCAAGATACAGTAGAAATGTCCCCATAGGGTCTGTGAGGCTATAACTCTTTCTGAAAGCAGACTGCTATGTCTTCCTCCCTTGGAGCAGCGAGGGAGTTCCAAATGAGGACCTTATAGTTAGCAGCCATGCAGTTAACTTGTACATATTTCCAAATAGGAAATCTGAGCCTTCATAGAACCCCAAAACCAAAAATCCCCACTGTCATCAAGTCTATCCCGAGGCATAGTGATCCTATGTGGTTTTTGTTGTTGTTACGTGCTGTCAAGTAGGTTCCGATTCATAGCGACCCTGTTCAGGGTTTCTGAGGAGCAGCTGGTGGGCTTGAACTGCCATACTTGAAGTTAGCAGTCCAATACTTAACATTGCCACACCAGGACTCCAGGGACCCTATAGGAGAGAGTAAAATTGCCCCATAGGGTTTCCAAGGCAGCCACAGTGCTCCTTAGAAGCCAGGATGGCAACACTTCGTCTCTCATACTTCGGACATATTGTCAGGAGGGATCAGTCCCTGGAAAAGGACATCATGCTTGGTAAAGTGGAGGGTCAGTGAGATAGAGGGAGACCCCCCCCCAATGAGATGGACTGGCACAGTGACAGCAACAAGGGGCTCAAGTGTAGCAACCTCAAGTGTGAGGTTGGTGCAAGATCAGACTGTTTCAATCTGTTGCTTCCAGTTAGAATCAATTCAACTGCATCTATCCACAAGAAATCTTTACAGAAACAAATTGCCACATCTTTCTCCCACAGAACAGCTGGTGGGTCGGAACCTCTGACTTTTCCATTTGCAGCCCAGTGCTTAACCTACTGCACCAGCAGGGTTCCCTAGCAGCAGGCCCTCCCAATCCATCAGGGCAAGAATCTTGTTATCTTGAACAGCCATTAAAGGGCACTGACAAACTCACTCTCTGAGATCAAATTGATACCAACCACTTGAAAGATTAGACAGAAAGTTAAGGGGGGCAGTGGAATGTATGTAAATGGAGGAGGAACAAACGCAGAAAAGAAGATGGGAATGTTTGCAGAACTCCAAGAAGGTAATTAATGTCACTAAAAAGTGCTTGCTGACACTGGTGAATGGGTGTATGTTTTGGCTGTGTATATTCTCAACAACAAAACAGATACAGTTTTAAAGAAAACAGAAAAGGCGCTGTTGAAAGAGGTACAGGTTGGAGGCGGAGCTTCCGTCTATAGGAGATACAGCTGGCTTGGCTTGGGGTTCAACCTGAGGAGGGGAGGCTAAGAACGTGGGCGTGATCTCCCAGTGGGGCGTGGCCTCCCAGGTAAGGTGTGAGTCCAAACAACAATTACAAACGCACTGCCACAGAGTCAGTTCTCACTCAGGACCACCTTGTGTAAGACAGAGAACTTCCTGGGGCATTCTCCGCTTCCGTCGCCAGACCTTTCCTCTGCAGCACCACCAAATGGATTTGAACCACCAATTTTTACGCTCGTAAACTTGAGTCCTAGTGTGGCGCTGTGGGCTAATGCGTCAGACTGCAAAGTCGTTTGAAATGCAACGTGGGTGGTTCAAGCTCACCAGCTGCTCCTTGGAAACCCTATACAGGGTTGCTATGGGTCGGAATCGACTCCATGGCACTTAACAACAACAACAACAAACTAAATGCAAAGTAACTGCTATTCAGGGCCCCTGGCGTGAGACCAGCCTTGGATGAATCCAGTCGGTCCTGCCTGACACCTGGGGGAAGGGGCGGAACCTCACCCGTGATGTGGATCTCATCCGAAGTTGGAGCCCGGATTTCCAGCTGCAGGCGTCCTCGGCGCTCCGTGTGGTCCACTCCGCACAGGGAGGGGACGCTGCGCACGCACCGCCTGTGCACGTTCATCTCGCAGCCTGAAAGGGCACAACATCATGTGGCGGGGGAGGGGGGCTGGGAGGACGCCCCCGACCCCAGGCTCCCCCCACCACACGTCTCCCCCCAGCAGGGTTAATACTCACAGGAACATTTCATGCCCTGGTGCACGAGTCCATAGAGAAGGGAGCCGCAGTGATCGCAAAAGGTGGGGCTACTGTAGCTGTGTAGACGGAACCTGTGCTTGTTCCGGGGGTCCTGGGGGCAGACAAGAAGCCGTACTGGAGAGAAGGCGTCTTAGGTCCCTGGGCCAGTTGCCTCTCTTCCTCCTTGTGTCTTGCTCTCCCTTATCTCCCCGTTCTCTGTCACTCACTCACTCTTGCAGGTATTTATTAAGCGTGCGGCCACCTGTGTGCTAATGGAGCTCTGATAGCGTAGTGGTTACGAATCGGGCTGCGAACCTGAAGGTCAGCGGTTTGAAACTACCAGCCGCTCCGCGGGAGAAAGATGAGGCTTTCTAGTCCCGTAAAGATTTACACCCTTGGAAACCCTGTACAGGGTCGGAACCGACTCAACGGCACTTAACAACAACAACAACAACCTGTGTGCCAGGCAAGACGTCCTGGTGGCGCTGTAGGATAAGCCCTGGACTGCTAACCACAGGTCGGCAGTTCCAGCCCACCAGCCGCTCTGCAGAAGAAAGATGAAGCTTTCTACTCTAGTAAAGATTTATACAGTGTGTGTGTGTGTGTGTGTTTAGAGCAAATCACACCCCTGTCCACATGGAATTCCCATCCTAGTGCAGGGGAGTGGGTTAGGAGGAAAAGAATCCCAATAGCATGCTGGTGCTCAGGAGATAAAAAAACAAGGGGACAAAGGAAGGGATTGGGACCCAGAGGTTTTGTTAACTGGTGCCCTAGAATCAGTCTTAACTCATGGTGACACCATGTGACAACACCATGTGACATAGACTAGTTGGTGTTGTAAGATAAGTGCTGGATTGGTAACCACAAGGTTGACAGTTCAAACCCACCAGCCGCTCGGGGAAACCCTATACAGGATCACTGTGTGACTCAAATGGAGTCCTGGTGTGGCTCTGTGGGTTCATGCACTGGACTGCAAAGTCAGCTTGAACAGCAAGGTTGGCAGTTCAAGCTCACCATCTGCTTCTTGGAAACCCAACACAGTCGCTGTGGGTTGGAACCAACTCAACAGCACTTACAACAACAACTAATGTCGACTCAACAACACACAACAATAACAACAACAAACAATCTTTCCAAAGGGAGACTGGTGGTACTATGGCTTAAACATTGAGCTGATAACCATAAGGTCTATGGTTCAAACCCACCAGTCGCTTTGTGGGAGAAAGATGAAGCAGTCTGCTTCTGACAAGATTTACAGTCTCAGAAACCCTCTGGGGCAGTTTCACCCTGTCCTGTAGGGTAGCTGTGAGTCATAACCGACTCGATAGCAGTGGGTCATCTTTATGGGAAGGAACCCTAGTGATTGGGGCTAAAGCGGTCCGCTGCTAACCAAAAGGTTGGTATTTTGAGCCCACCAATGGGAAAAAATGGGGTAGACTGCTTCCGTAAAGATAACAGCTTTGGAAACCCTCTGGGGCACTTCCACTCGGTCCCACAGCATCTCTATGAGTCAGAATCAACCCCACTGCAATTGGATGATTTGGGGTTGAATCTTTCCTGGATGGAACAGATCACCAGCTCTTTCTTCCTGGAGCCACTAGTGGGTTTGAAACTGATAGCCTCAGGAGAGGCTGTCATCCTTCCAGAAGCAGATTGTCAGATCTCTTTCTTCTGCAGAGTTAGTGGGTGGATTCCATATGCCAATATTTCAATTAGCAGCCTCAAGAGCTTTCTTGGAGGGGGGCGGGGAGCCACCAGAGCAATTTCTTGGGACCTCAAGGAAGAGGAGATTAAAATTTCCAAGTGTGGTTGGGGAAAGTCTCACAGACAAAAAACAAAGGAGATGGGGGCTTCTATCATCCTATATAAGGAGCTCTGGTAGCATAGTGGTTACGAATTGGGCTGCAAACCTTAAGGTCAGCGGTTCGAAACTACCAGCCGCACCGCGGGACAAAGATGAGGCTTTCTGCTCCCGTAAAGATTTACAGCCACGGAAACCCTGTACAGGGTCGCTATGGGTCGGAACTGACTCAACGGCACTTAACAACAACAACAACAATGGATAAAAAGGAGCTCTGGTAATGTAGTGGTTACGAATCGGGCTGCGAACCTTAAGGTCAGCGGTTCGAAACTACCAGCTGCTCCACTGGAGAAACATGTCACTAGGGGTCGGAACCGACTCGACAGCACTTAACAACAACAACAACAACATCATTCTATAATCCCTCCTGCCACAATTTCCACCAGCAGTTCTCTGAGGACTTGAGGTCCACCCTGAACTCCAGGAAATTCGCTGGCAGCTTATGTCAGTATTCGCACTGAGCTCCAACCTCTGCCTGGTGTCTGGTCAGCCTCCTCAAGCTCTTGTGGGATGGGAACTATGGCTCCTTCGTTACAGGGACTCAGGAAGGCCAAATGAAAGAACACAGTGGCTGGCCTGCGAATTGGACCCAACTGGACAGTTACTGCATCTTTTACTGCTGTGGTTATGACTAGCAATGTTATTACAGCCTTCCCATAGACCCTGGTGTAAATAAGCCGCTTCCCAGCTGTGTAGTTTGGGGGCAAGTTTATTTTTGGTTTCAAGCCTCAGAGAACTCCTCTGCCAAGTGAAAACAAACAATCCATCTCTTGAAGCAATACTAGATTTCCAGAGTTCGATTACCATGTTTTACGCAAGTAACACACGAACCTGTCACACGGCTTTTGCAAGGCGTGCAACCCCACTTACATTAGCTTCCTATGCAAGCTATTTGCCATATGCAAGTGTGCATTTTATGTGGGCATATTATACGCGAAAGATATGGTAAGCATGAATTTAGGTTACCAGCAAAATAGACCTCCCACCTCCCCACCCCTCAGCCTGGTCTGGTTGTTAAATAATTTGGTATTTGCCTTTGCTTCCAAGAAGGCGTTGAAAGAATTATGACAGGGCGGAAATTTAGAACTTTCTTAGACTTTCATTTATTTTGCAGTTTAATGTGCTATTTTTAATTTCTCATATCTCGTAAGGGGCGGTGGGAGGGGAGTGGCAATTGCCTCTATGTATTTCAATGCTCTGGGTCTTCGGCTGACCCGCAACTCAAGAGTTCCTGGAGGGTTAAATGATGTACCCTGGGTAAAAGCCCTCAGCAGGGTGCCAGGCACATAAGCGAAACAATATTAGAAACTATTGTTACTACTCTCAAAGGTAAAGCTGTAAGGTGTTGGAGTACCAGTTAGAACAGGGTCCAAATTTCGACTCTGTTCACTATTTAACTGTGCCCTTTCTTTAAAGCCTTTGGCTTTAAAGAAATGGGGCCGTGGACCCTCATTTAGTCATAGGAGGACTAAGCAAAATCATGCTTGTTAAACCCTGAGCACTTTGTAATCACTCTATCCAAAAGCACAACTAAACAACAACAAACAAACGAAAATAAATCCATCACCCTTTGTTGATTCTGACTCATGAGAAGTAGGGATTTGTAACACAGTAGAACTGATCCCTAGGGGGGTTTAGACTGTGGTTTTTACAGAAGGAGACCCTCAGGCCTTTCTTCTGCAGAACCTTTGGGTGTATCCGAGCCACCAATCTTTAGATTAGTTATTAGGTGCCATTGAGTCAGTTCCAGCTCACAGCAACCCCATGTACAACAGAAGAAGACACTTCCCAGTCCAGTCCAGTCACCATCCTCACGGTCTTTGCTATGCTTGAGCCCAATGTTGCAACTACTGTGCCAGTTCATGTGAATGCACACCAGTTGGGTTACCCAGAGACTTTTACAAGACCACAAACAGTAACAATGAAACAGCCAGAGAAAGCAATGAAGAAGAAAGATCTTACAATTTGCCTGCCTTTCCTCATTGATAATTATAATCACTTTAATAATAACAATTAACGTTTTAGCTCTTCCTATGTATCAAACAATAATGATCAAAGACCACAGACTTCAGTATGGATCACACCTCAATATAAAAAAACAAACAAACAAAAATCCTTACAACTGGACCGATAAATAACATCATGATAAATGGTGGAAAGACTGAAGTGGTGAAATACTTCATTTTGCTTGGATCCACAATGAACACTCATGGAAGCAGCTGTCAAGAAATCAAATGATGTATTACATTATGTAAATCTTCTGCAAAAGTGTTCAAGAGCAAAGATACCAGTTTGAGGAGTAAAGTGTGCCTGGCCTAAACCATGGGATTTTCAATAGCCTCATAGGCATGTGAAAGTTGGGCAATGCGTAAAGAAGACTGGAGCAGAACTGATGTCTTTAATTATGGAATTGGTGAAGAATATTGAAAATGCCATGGACTGCCAGAAGAACAAACAAATCTGTCTTGGAAGAAACACAGTCAGAATGCTCCTTAGAAGAGAGGATGGTGAAACTTTGGATATGTTGTCAGGAGGGACCAGTCCCTCCCTGGAGAAGGACATCATGCTTGGTAATGTGGAAGGTCAGTGAAAAGAGGAAGACCCCCCCAATGAATTGACACAGAGACAACAGCAATTAGGTTGGAATTGAGCAGCAATTGTGAGGATGGCATAGGACCAGGCAGTGGTTTGTTCTGTTGTGCAATGAGCCAAAACCAACTTCAGGGCATCTAGCAAGAACAATGTGCCAAATACCACCCCAAATATTTTACTTGTCTAGTTCTCCAACAGTCCTATAAAGCGGGTGGTGTAAATGGGTAATGCACTAGGCTGCTAGCCAGATGTTCGGAGGGTTGAGTTCACCCACATGCATCTTGAAGGAAAAGCCTGGGGATTTACTTCCCCAAAAAAATCAGGCACTGAAAATCCTATGGAATACAGTTCTACCCTAGCACACATACAGTAACCATGAGTCAGAATACACTTGATAGCAGTTGGTTTGAGTTTGGGTTTGGGAATCCTTATCGGTATACACACACACACACACACACAGAATCCTACAAATAAATACACCCAAAATAAAATCCAAATTCCTTCCATTATTTACAACAGAAGTACCTTGGAAGAAAGACCTGGAGATTAATTTTGGAAAAAACTAGCCACAGTTTAACTACTCTGACACACAGGGGGTGCCATGCATAGACTCCACAGCCATTGACACCACCAGTCCCATTTTAGGGACAGGAGTTCCGGAAATGCAGAGGTAAATCAGCTTGCAGAACAGGGATTCGAACCTCAGTGTTCTGGAGCTGCAGCTTGTGCTCCCATAGGAACATTAACAATACCTGTGGCGCTGTGGGTTAATGCATCAGACTGCAAAGTCGTTCGAACTGCAAGGTCAGTGGTTCAAGCTCACCAGCTGCTCCTTGAAAGCCCTATACAGGATCGCTATGGGTCAGAATCAATTCAACGGCACTTAACAACAACAAGTTTGTAAGGGTAGAGTCCTGGTGTGGCGCTGTGGGCTAACATGCTGGACTGCAAAGTTGGTTTAATCCTCAAGCTCACCAGCCGCTCCTCGGAAACCCTATACAGGGCTGGCATGGAACCGACTCAACGGCACGTAACAATCACAAGCTTATGAGGGGAGTCCTGCTATGGTACTTAAGGGTAAGCACTGTACTGCTAACTATAAAACCACTCCTTGGAAACCCTTTACAGGGACTCTATGAGTTGGAACTGGCGCCACAGCACTTCACAACAACAACTACAAGTTTATAAAGAAGGAGCCTGGTGGCACTGTAGGTAGATGCTGGCCGTATGAATTCCCCCACGGGTCCGAGGTAGGAAGATGAGGCATTCCGCTCCCGTAAAGACTGACAGCCTCCGGCATATAGGGTAACTGTGAGTCAGAGTCGACTCGATAACAAGGAGTTTTTTTGGCTTTTAACCTGATACACTACATGCGAGTTACTTGGTGAACACAGGCATTGAACATTTGATAGAGGAGGACTAGTCTAGGGCTAGTGGAGCAACGGTTAAGTGCTGAGCTGCTAACCCCCCACCCAGCGGCTCCTCAGAACGATCTGCCAGTCTGTTCCCATACAGATGCCCCACTACTTTGAGTCAATTCCAATTCCTAGAAGACAGAAGCAAGCCTGCCTCCTCATCTTTCTGCCCCGGAGAACACGGTGGGTTTGAACCACTGACCTTTCGGTTGGCAGCTCAGTACTTAACCATTGTGCCACAGGACTTCTCCCATAAAAACGACAGCCTAGGAAGCCTAATTGTTGTTAAGAGCCTTGGAGTACATACGGACTCACAGCGACCCTGTGTGGGGTTCCCGAGGAGCAAAGTTCCTGCGGCGAGGCTGTAAAACAGGAGCAGAACGCCTCCTCTTTCTCCCTCTGAGTCGCTAGTGGATTTGAACTGCTGGCCTTGTGGTTGGTAGCCCAACCGGTGACCCACATGCTACCAGAACTCCTTATGTTGGCAGGCAGTGTTGTTGTCGTTGTTAAATGCCATTGAGTCTGTTCTGACTCATAGCATAGTATCGGTTTTCCGAAGAGTAGCTGGTGGGTTTGAACTACTGATGTTTCCGTTAGTAGTTCAGTGCTTAACCTACAGCACCCCACCAGGAGTTCAGTAAATGTTCTATGAAGTTACATCCTATATGTGAGCTTTCATATTCTTTATCTGACAGGCTAGCACAATGCCTCATGGACCTCTGTCGGTCTCTGTGTGTGTGTTTCTCTCTTTCTGTCCTGTTTCCCTCTCTGTCTTTCTCTCTCTTCTGCCTCTTTCTTCAAGCATTAATCATACAACCACCCTCAACCTCATGTCAAATGCCAGGCTAAACTCTTAACCCACGTAATTTCAATGACCTGTCAAAACAAGACTGGGACAGCCACTAGGCACACGTGGCCATTTAAGTAGAAACCAACTCCAGTCAAATGAAATTTGACTTTTTCTTCCTCCTTGCTAGTAGCCACATTTCAAGTGCCCAAGGCTCCGTGTGACTGGTGGCTACCATATCGGGCATTGTAGATACAGACCATTTCCATGGTTACAGAAAGCCTTGTTGGTCAGCACCAGAGCATCAGCCCCATTTTATAGGCATGGAAACTGAGGCTCGGAGAGAAGATCTGACAGAAAGGGAGGGAGAGGACAAGGGTAGGGTACTCAGGGGTAGCTATTTGTAAAAGCTACTGATGTGTTTTTGGAGAGAGAGAGACTGTGTGTGTGCACATGTTCCCACATGCATGTGCTTATATGGGGGGTGTCCCTGCAGGCCCACATGTGTATGTGTGCATGTGTACTGCAGGGTCTCTTTTGAGTCCCTCTTGTTTAGCATCTCCACATCCATCCACCATCTTTTCTTGGTCCCTCTCTTCAGGTACCTGTCTCAGCCTCTCTGTCTCCCTCAGTCTCTCAGAATCCCCCGTCTGTCTCCCTGTGTCTCTGTCTCTGTCCCACTCTCTCTTTCTCTCTCTCTGGGTCTGTCAGTGTGTCCCCGAGATGCTCTTATCCCAGGATCTCTTCATCTGCATCAAAATCTCTCTCCTTCTGTATTTCTGAGTTCCAGACCACCCCTTCTGATGTCCAGTTTCAGTCCCCTCACTCCTCCTGCCTCCTCTCTGTCTCCCACCTGTGTCCCCAGACTATCTCAGTCCCCCTCTCGTTTCCCCTTTCCAGGCCAAGGGCAGACAATCTGGGCCACATGAGCTCCCCTATCTCCCCAACCCCCCTCCCCTCCCAGCCTTAAAAATAGCAGGAGAAATTGGGACGGACGCCGAGGGGGTGCGGGCGGGGCGCGGTCTGAGGAGGAGGGGTCAGGTGTCTGGGCACTCACGTCCGTCTGGGGGCCCTTCCCAGCGCCTGGACACTCGAAGGTCACAAATTCGTGGCATCGTCGGTGAACGACAAAGCTGCAGACTGTGAGAATCACAGAGAAAGACAGAGAATGCCAGGTAAATCCAGAGAGAGAGAGAGATCAGAGAGAGAAAGAGGTCCGTGTAAATCAGAGTGAGATGGGAGACTAGAAAGACCCCAATACAGAGAGATAGAGAGGCAGAGACAGAGAACGTCCCAGGTAAATCCAGAGAGAGACAGAGACAGAGAGAACCAGGCAAATCCAGAGGATATGGGGGAATCAGAGCGAGAGAAACTGCAACACAGAGAGATACAGAGATAGAGGGAGACCCAGGTAAATCCAGAGAGAGACAGAGACAGAGAGAACCAGGCAAATCCAGAGGATATGGGGGAAATCAGAGCGAGAGAAACTGCAACACAGAGAGATACAGAGATAGAGGGAGACCCAGGTAAATCCAGAGAGAGACAGGAGATGAGAGAGGGAGCCAGGTAAATCAGAATGAGGCAAGGAATGAGAGAGAGGGACCCCAACACCAAGTGATACAGAGGCAGAGATGGAGATCCCCAGGTAAATCCAGAGACAGATAGGAGATGCAAGAGACAGACCCCAATACAGAGAAGGCCACAGGTAGAGAGACAGAGAAGGTCAGAGAGAGAGAGAGAGAGAGACAGACCTGGGAAACCCAGAGATAGAAAGAGACAGAACAGAGACAGCTTGATAAATCAGAGAGGGAGATCAAGGTATAGCCAAAGAAAGACAGAAAAAATTAGAGAGACTGAGAAAAATAAAGAGAGACCCAATAGAAGAAAGAACCCCAACAGAGAGACAGACAGACAGATAGACCCCAACAGAAAGAAAGAGTGAGAAGAAACCCTAACATTACAGACACATAGCTGCAGACAGAGATGAAGACCACCAACAGGGAGAAATCCAACCAAAAGGAATGCTGACAGACATGGGACATGGGAGATGGAAACGTATGCAATGAACTCAAAGACAGAAACCCAGAGAATCCCAGTGAAAGACCCAGAGCACAGAGACTGAAGTGTACCACCACCACCCAGCACCCGGGTCACACACAGAGATTCAAACACAGGCCCAGAGATGAGGAAAGTCACTCAGAGATCCTCAGAAGGAGAGACGACAGAACAACTTGGGCAGAAGTGAGTCTGGGGGGCTGGTTGATGGCCGCCCCCCTCCCTGACTCACTATGTTCTCAGCTGTGGCAGCTGGTGCTCTAGGACTCGCCCCCCCTCTCCCGCCCCCCATCACTGCCAGCCCCTCCTGGGCCCCCACCTGCCCATCCCCATCAGTGACCCCACCCGGCCTGCCCCTGCCTAAAAAGGCTCATGTTGCTATGGAGATGGCAGTCTGGTGGGGGGGGGTAGAACTCTGACTCTGCATCTCCAGCCCCCCCTTCAGCTCCCCTTTTGCAAAGAAAAAAAAATTTTTAAAGAAAAAAAAAAAAAAAATGTCTCTGTTACCATGGCAACAGATTCTCCAAATATCTGTCCCCACCTGGAGCCGGCCGAGGGAGGGCCCCGGCACCACCTCCGCCTGCGGCCCCTCCATGAAAGCTCCCTCCCCACTCCAGGCAGGCTGTGTCTCCGCCACACCCCCCGCCCCGGGCTCCCCCGCGCCTCTCTGGGGACCACAGAACACGTGTATGTGTCGAGCAGCCTCAGATCTGGGGTCCCAGCCTCCACCCTCCGAAGGGACCTGGGAGTCCAGGGCCCTGGCTCTTACCTTGACATTGAAGGCCTTGCTTCCCTATGCCCCTGGAAGAGCAGAGGGTTCTAGGTGAGTAAGACCCGGGCTCCTGGACCCACCCCAGACCCACCTCAGCTGGCTAGAGGCCCTCAGCACGCAGAGCTCAGGAGCCCAGCCCCTCCCAGCACTCCTCCTAAACCCAGAGATTCGGACCCTTGACCCCCCTCCTCCCCCAGGTCTCAGTGATCTGCACCTGGACCCTTACCCAGGAGTTCTAGCCCCGCCCAGGCCCTCCTTCCTCAGACCCAGGCGTCCAGGTACCTGTGCCCTCCTACCCCTGGACTCAGGGGTCCTGCTGCTACCGGTTCCTCCCTCCCCACCTGCGTCCCTGCCCCGGGGTCCTCACCAGATGAAGTCGGTACAGTGACTACAGAAGGTCGGCTGCTTGAAGAAGCGAGCGGTGAACTTGTGACTCTTGACTTCATGGACCACCTTCTGCCTCAAAGCCCCCTTTCTGCAAAACAGGGGCCGAGGTCCCCCCTCTGAGTCGCCCCCACCGGGGCCCAGGCCTGCCATCGCCCCGGGAACAGAACCGGGGTGGTGGTGGGGGGATCAGGATCCTGCCTCGGAGATGGTGGTGGGGAACAGGTGGAATGGGACAGAGCCAGGAGCACAAGAGATTGGAAGAGTCGCAGGGAGATCCTGAGTGGAGCGAAGCGGAGCGCTCCCGGGGGCAGGCGACCAGCCCGAGGCGCACCGGATCAGTCAGTTGGCGCGGGCTTGCAAGAGGACAGCAGCGGGAAGAGGCGCCGCGGAGCCCGAGGCACGGGCGGCGGCGGTTGGTGCTCCGGCACCTGCTGAAATGTGGGAGCCCCGGGTTGAGGGGGGAGGCGTTGCCATGACGACTGAGGGGCGGGGTTTTGTCTTAAAGGCGCCCCCCCCCCCCCCGAGATGCGGGACCAATGCCCTCCCCACCCGGACACGTGCGCACTCCCACTCCGGGGGCCAGCTGGAGGGAGGGGGCATCCGCTGAGCCTTGCCCCCCACCCATCTGTCGTCCTGCCGTCTTCCACTTCCAAGTCCCCGTGAGCGTTCTTCATCTCCGCTCACATCTCTGTGTTTCTGACCGTCACTGTATCGATCAACAAACTCCATGTTCTAATGACGAACCCGGAGGCTTGGCGCCTCGTTTCCCCTGGTACTACCAGCGTCTTTATTTCTCTCTGGGTCTCTGTGAATGTCTGTCCCCCTCTGATGGCCTTTCCCTTGGTCTGTGTCCCTCTGTGTTTGTCTCTGTCCACGTCTCTCAGGCACTCTCTCCCCCTCTGATGGTGTCTTGCCCTTGGTCTCTGTCCCTCTGTTTCTCTCTCTCTCTGAAGATTTGTGTCATCACCGCCCCCCTGTCTCTGGGAATTTCTGTCTATACCACTCTATTTCCTTCTGTGTGTTTCCTACTAACCCTATCACTTTTTCCCCATTTCACTATCCTTCTTGGGGTCTTGGGGTTTTCAGTCTCTCACACTCACTGTGAATCAGTCTCCTTCCATCTGTCTCCTAAATTCTTAAGTGTCCATCTCTCATCTCAGTCTGTTTCTCTCCCTGTCTCTGTTTGCCTCCCTGAGTCCATCAATCTCTAGTCTCTCCGTTTCTGCCTCTGAGCCTATGACTCTGTGGGTGTCTCTCTCTCTACCCCTCATCTCTATCTGTATCCCGGTCTCTCCCTGTCTCTGTATACCAAGGGCCTCAAAAATTTCATGGAAGAGTTACATTATTTTTTTAAGCTTTTATTGTGAATTGAGTGATAGTTTACATGGGAGAACATCGATTTTGTATTCAACCATTTGTATTTTGTTTCATTGCAATGATTAAAATCCCCTCCATGCATATTAACAGTATTTGCTTATAGTCCCCCCCACACACACACTTTTTTTTTATGTGCACAAAAACACACAGGAATATATAATCGTTTAAATAACCAAAGGTCACATTTTGCAAGCCAGCCTCCCACCAGCACACAGCCTTTCCCTTTTCATAAATCTAGAGTGCTCAACTCTTCAATCTCTCCATGTCATCATCTCTTCCTCCATCTCTGGAGTTGCTGCTTCTCTGGTTAGGATCGCATGCTCAGCTCACGCTCCTCTCCCGTGATGGTCCTAGGGGCCTCGGTTCCTGCAATGTAAGATTAACTACTACCCCCTTTTTGTTACACAACTTCTACCTTTATAGTTGTGACAATCGCAATTAGTCATGATAACAATTACTCACTATTGAATCAAATTAATCCTATCCCCATCTCCTTTCACCAGACCCATCCAGGAAAGATGAAAATCATCCAGGGGGGATTCTATCTTCCTCTGCATGCTCTGAAACCAAACTCCCTCTTGAAAACTTGTAAGCCAGCCACTTTGTGCCTTTACGGCCCCGCCCCCCCAATTTTAGGTAGCCAGTATCTAAGTTGCCCCCACCAACCCTGTGTACAGAAGGGATAGGCTTGATCCTTGATGTGAAGACTCCTTCCCTATTAGTTGCTATTTTGAGCTACTACACCCTTAAGTAAGGAGCTCTGGTAGCATAGTGGTCACGAATCGGGCTGCAAACCGCAAGGTCAGCAGTCAAAATGACCGGCTGTTCTGCAGGAGAAAGATGGGGCTTTCTGCTCCCATAAAGATTTACAGCCTCTGAAACCCTGTACAGGGTTGCTAGGGGTCAGAACCGACTCCACAGCACATAACCACCACCACCACCAGTCGAGTTCTGATCATCAAGCCATTGAAGCGAGGTCAAATGTGAGTACCAGCTGCAAGTTTGGGTGTTCTTGCGCATCTCCCCCTTGCTTCATATCAGCTGGACGCTCATATCAGCTGGACGCTTCACTCTCAGCTCCAGTCCACCAGGGGCAGGTCAGTGTCATGGGCCCAGGAGTGCCTGTCTCCCCAAATTTTGGACCAGCCAGCCTCTCCTCTCTTTCTCATTTCGTGGTCGACGGGAGTTTATGGAACATGGTCAAATTCAGCCCATGTCTTCATTACTACCTTTCCCCCACTTTCATGCACAAGTAGACCAACGTGGTCCCCAGCAAGCTTACATGCCTGTTTGTGTGTGTTCCCTTTGAGTTTCAGTCTTGGAGGTGGGTCTGTCCTGAAGGGATCTGACTGCTTGCCTTGTTGGCTCCCTGGCATGCAGCTTATTCTTTGTTTTTCCTGCTGGTCATTCTTTCAAAAGAAGTATCTTCTGTCCCTCTAGCAGCTCTGGGCTGGTCTACTTGTCCTTTCAAGTGAGAATGACCCATCTCAGAGTGTTCTGGATGGGACTCAGGATTCTACCTAAGGTCCTATACACTACAAAGGCTCCGCCAAAAGCCTGTTTCACTGGGCAAGTTCTAGAATCCCTTTTAGGTATTCCAATCAGTTATAGGCTGAAGATGGGCTTATAAGTTTTCTCTAATCATGTTTCCTTTCTATCCCACTCTTATGTTATCTTTTAACTTCATTTTTTCACCAACATTTTAAAGCCTCTGGTATATCTCTCCAACTCTCTCTATGTGTCTCTTTCCTTGTCTCTCCCTGTCTATTACAAGTATCTCTCCTATCTCTATGTGGAGTTCTGGTGTGGTATTGTAGGATAAGCACTGGACCATAAGGTCAGTTTGAACAGCAAGGTTGGTGGTTCAAACCCACCAGCCACTCCTTGGAAACCCTCTACAGGGTCACTATGAGTCAGAACTGCCATAACCAAGGCATCTGTGTGTGTGTCTCTCTCTCCTCTCTGTCGGTATGTCTCCCTCAATTCTGTGTGAATCTCTCTGCCTGTTTCTGTATATATGAGTATCTACCCCGCTCCATGTGTCTCCTTACCTCTGTGTGTGTATCTCCAGTTACCTTTGCACACACTTTTTCCCTGTTCTTGCTACGTGCAAGTCAGTTACTGACTCACAGCCAGCTTGTACAGGGTTTCCGAGGCTGTAAATCTTTACCAGAGAAGAAAGCCTCATCTTTCCCCCATGGAACAGCTGGTAGTCTCAAACTGATGACCTTGAAGTTCGCAGCCCAATTCGTAACCACTACGCTCCCAGAGCTCCTCAGTTACGATTCATAGTGAGGGCGGCGGTTCTAGCGATTCCTCACAAACACTACACGTTACGACTTTAGCAACCCTGTATAGTGTTTGTGAGGAACCGCTGGTGAGTTTGAACCACCGACCTTGCGATTCAAACTGACCTTGTGGTTGAGCGTTTATGTTGCAGCGCCACACACCCTCTCTCGGAAAGTGTCTCTCTCTACAAGCCTGCTTCTCTGTCTCTCGTGCTATTAGTCTCTAGGTCTGTCCATCTTTCTCTCTGTTCTGCATTTTGTCCCCTTTGTATCGCTCTGATTCATTCTCTCTCTGACCCACTCTCTATTTGTCTTTCTGGCTCTGTGAATCTCTGTCTCTGGAGTGTGTGTGTGTCTCTCGAGCTCTACATTTCTCCATAATTCAATCTCTGTCTCCTATCTCTCTCTGTTACTTGCCGGCTGCTCTGGAATTCTCTATTTCTTTGTCTCTGGAATTCCAGGGAGGTGTAAATTGGCAAACAGGTTCGGCTGCAAACTGAAACGTTGGAAGTTCAAATTCACCCAGAAGTTCCTTGGAAGAAAGGCCTGGACACCAGCCTCCCAAAAGTCGGCTAATGAAGAAAACCCTACGGAACACCGTTGTACTCAGACATCCATGGAGTCACCGTGATTCCCGAGTGGATCCCCGCCCCCCGGCTCGCCAGCGTTTCCTGGTCCATCCCTTGAGCCCGGCTATGTTGCCCGGGGCAACCACATTCCGTCGGGCTGCGGCGTGCGGTGCATCCCGGGACTTGTAGTCCGCGCCTGCAAGCCCGCTGTTTTCAAAACGAGGCCAAGAACTTGCTCTCCCGACGTGCCCCACGGCATAGGTGGGGCGCTATGGCGACGCCCGGGGGACACCGGACGTCTACCACGTGTTTTTTTTTTTTTCGGACATTTTGGAGTCTCGGATCCCAAAATCCGAAAAGGAAGTGGGGGAATCGTGGTATCCCTTACTCCCAAAAAGCAGGCGTCATCTGTCTATTATCTTTCCCTCCACCTCCAGACTTCCCATCCCCGCCCCTGGACAAAGGATAGGGCGCGGACGTGACCCCGAAAACGGACTTAGCAACCTCGTCACGCTCTCTCCCAGTTCTCCGGGGGTTGTGCCCCAAGTCGCCACCATTTCGTCCCCGGTTCCTAACCCGTTCTCTCTGATGCCTTCCAGAAGAGGATCAAGCGTGGAGTTGGGGGACGGGAGGATATGTCTTTTGAAAGGGCGGGCAGTGCCAGGCACAGTAATGGGGCGGACACTTCAGAAACCAATAGAAGGCTTTTCTTCACCAAAAAGGAGTTTATGTTTTCCAGGTGACCTTTCCCTCACTTGCATTGTGATTTGGCGTTCTTGAGTCCATTTGTTATCCTATAGTGACCCCGTGTGACACAATAGAACTACCCCATGGGGTTTTTCTAGGTTAGAGTTTTTAAAAAGTTGTTTTATTGATTTTTTTTTTTTATGAAAGTTTACACAGTAAATTAGGTTCCGAGTTAATCATCTCTGCACACTGTGTTCAGTGACATTGGTTACATTTTTCACATTGAATCAACAGTCCTTTGTCTGTTCTGGTTGGTCCTTTTTCATTATTCTTGCTTCCCTGGCCCCTCCTCTTATTTTATCA